CTGTGTCACCCAATCTCCTCAGTCACACACTGTGTGCACCCCACGGAGTGACCTACCTAGGACCCCACAGCACCCCCACGTGACCACTTGCAGCCTGGGGGGCAAGGGCAGCACCCCACCCAAGACCTCAGCACGCTGGGAGGCAGAACCCTACGGGCGTAGCACCCCAATGATCATGCAGTGTAAAAGAACAGTAGCCCACCGCACCCCCAATCTCCTCAGTCACACACTGTGTGCACCCCACGGAGTGACCTACCTAGGACCCCACAGCACCCCCACGTGACCACTTGCAGCCTGGGGGGCAAGGGCAGCACCCCACCCAAGACCTCAGCACGCTGGGAGGCAGAACCCTACGGGCGTAGCACCCCAATGATCATGCAGTGTAAAAGAACAGTAGCCCACCGCACCCTGGGGTGCCAGAGCAAAACCTCATTGCTCAGCAGGCCCATCACTGCACACCACCCCCACACCTTTTGGGGCAGTCCTGCAGGGCAATAGGGCACCATCCACACCCTTCATAGTGCCTTCAATTGGTGTGTGAGAGCAGTAGCTATACCCTACATTTGAGTTCACACTGGAGGGAGCAGGGCTGGCCTGGGGGGAACCGGCCAGCAGGGAGTGGGGCTGGCCCAGGCACACGCAGATCCCAGGGTCCTGCCCGTCCTGCGCACTGTCCCAGTGGGGCACATGGGCGAGTCCGGCCCCTGGGATTCCATCCTGCTCCAGCCCTGTCCCCCTCCTCTCTACTGTGTAGTTGCGTACTGCCTGGTTGGTAGACACGCTCACACAGTACTGATACTCATGCAGTATGCAACTACGAACTGATACTCATGATAATAATAAAACTTACTTAATTAGAAAATACCAGACATTTATATGTCCGGTATTTTCCTAATTTATTTCCTGGACAGAAAGCTCAAATACTGGTTCAAAACCGGACACGTGGCAACCCTAGTTCACCCTTGAGCTGAAGGGTGGCGCCCTTTGGCATCCCACAAGAACAGTAGGCAGGAGGGCCAAAACACCATTACAAATAATATTTCACAACTTATATTTAAGGTCCTAATAACTTCACAGCCATAAAAAATATATCATGGACCATGAAATCTGGTCTCCCTTGCTGAAAACTGGTCTCTTTTTTTGTGCTTTTACCCTCTACTATACAGATTTCAGAGGTGGGAGACCAGCATATCTCAAATCGGGGGTCCTGACCCAAAAGGGAGCTGCAGGGTATCACAAGGGTTTTTTGGGGGGTGGTGAGTTGGGGAGTATTGCTGCAATTACTTCTGCACTGCTATGAGAACTGGGAGGCAGGAAAGTGCCTGTTATGGGCTGGGCACCCAGCTCCGAAAGCAGCAGCTCACCAGCAGCAGCCCATAAGTAAGGGTGGCTTGGTATGGTATGTTTTGCCACCCTTCCACACTGTGGCCTTCAGAGCTGGGCAGAGAGTGGTAGCTGCTGACTGAGACCAAGCTTTGCATGCAACAGCCTAGAAGCTAGGGTGGCAATACAGGCAGTCCCCAACTTACGTCGGATCCGCACTTACGAACGGGGCTTTCTCGCCCCAGAGCTCACAGGCAGCCCTGGCAAACGGCTTCACTCACGGTGCCCCTGGTCTGCTGGAGACGGTCTCCAGCAGACCAGGGGCACCGGGAGCAGCTTTTCTCGCCCCGGAGGTAGAGGTGGTTGATCGCTGCCTGTGAGCTCCGGGGCGAGAAAGCTGGAGACGGCGCATAAGCTTTCGTGGGCAAAGACCCACATCATCAGATGCATGTAGTGGAAATTCCAGAGGCAGGTATAAATATACAAGCATAAGAAAAGAGTACCAATCAAGAGTAAGGCTAGAGATAACAAGGTAAATTCAGTCAGGCAGGATGAGACCCACTTCTGGCAGCTGATTTGGAGGTGTAAACACTAAGGGTATGTCTACACTACAGAGTTAGTTCGAACTAACTTAATTCGAATTAGTTAATTCGAACTAAGCTAATTCGAACTAACGCGTCTAGAACTAAAAACTAGTTCGAATTAGTGTTTTGCTAATTCGAACTAGCATGTCCACATTGAGTGGACCCTGAACAGTGCCAGCAGGGCATCAGAGGCGTGGAGATGCTGTCTCAGGCTAGCCGAGGGCTGCGCTTAAAAGGACCCGACCCCCACACCGGACAGACAGTTCTCAGGAGTTCCCCGCTTGAAAACCAGTCCTGGCTTGGAGTGCCCGGAGTGCCCACACTGGGCACATCACAGCACTCGGCCATCAGACCGGCTGCACTTGCCGCAGGCTGCCATCTGGGGAGAGGGAGCAATTGGGGGGCTGCAGGAGAGCTTCCACCCCCAGAAGCCC